CCGCGTGCCGCGCCGCGATCCTCCGGTGGTCTAGTTTACGTCGCGATCTGTCTCGCCCCGTCGCGTCAACGAATCCTCCTCGCCCCTTCGTGCCCTTCGCGACCGCGTCGAGTCCCAGCAGCCCCCGCGCGACCCGCCGTCGACGAGATGATCGCGCGAGCGAGCGCGCTGTGCGTCGCGTTGCTGATCGGTGTCCTCGTGAAATCGGAGCCACGCCCGCGGCCCACGCCGATCTACACCAATCAATTTGCGGTCCACGTGCCGGACGGGAAGGAGGCTGCAGCCGATGTCGCCGCGACACACGGGTTCGACAATTACGGACAGGTGAGTGCGTCTTCACGCACGATTGTTAAGTGTGAATGAGACATGAAATTTTGATTGTGGGAAGTTTGATCGGAACTTCTTGAATATAGTAGCAGTGGATTGCTGAGATTCTGCTGATCAAAATGAGCCCAAACATGGGAGGAATCGGTTTAGTTTCGTTCGTTCATGGAAACGCACCCTTAGTTTCGTCAATTACACGAAATCCGTGAAACTGATCCGATCTCCGTCGTGTTTGGGCTTATTTTAATCAGCACAATTCCAGAAGTCCATTTGAACTACATTTAAGAATGTAGGAGACTTTACTAATTTTATCCACAAAATGAATTAAAACAAATTTGACTTGTAAAACTATAAACGTTGGTTCGTAGATGATATTAATTATCTTTATTCTTAGTTTCACAAGCCAACTGTGAACTAACATGTTGATTCAACTTCTGCGAGCATTGAATTTGTTAAAATCAACGTTTATAAATGTTGCTTCGCAGATGATATTAATCATCTTTACTCTGAAACATCGATAAACACTGATGTCACGTAAATTCCCAATGGCAAATAAGATTCTCGATAGGAAACAGTGATAGCAATGTTGAATAAAGAGAAACTAATTCGTCTTCGTTTTTATCGGCTGTCAATTCGCTGTCTCGTGGCGAAGGAACGAAGTGGAGCAACGCTGAGACAGCGAAATGGAATTTATAATGTAAACACGAACATTTACATGATTCGCTGTACAGACGTTCATAATTTCTCTTACCTCATCGTTCCCGAGTTGCAAACAAATTATTTTCCATTGCAAAACTCCTTGACACGCAATTTTCTTTGCGAACGTACTTGATAAAATAGAATTGAAGTCAACATTTAATTTTCAACTTTTTGTTCGTTGAAAATCGACGTTTATTTTGTTAGTTTGACAGTTTGATTGATAGTTGAACTTCTTTCAGTTTTATTTGTTTAGAATAAATTTGAATATTTGTAAAATGGGATAGAAATGTTTAGAGCTCATGGTTTTGGTTATTTTCAACAGGAATTGACGTTTGATTATTTAATTTA